GGGGGGGGCGGGTTTTCTGCCCGGGCGTTCACGGTATGCCGGACACCGTAAACTGTACTTGTAAGTACCTACATCTCTACTTCGATTGGCTGACTCGCGTACGAGTTGTGCATATGGAAACTCTCTTTGAGGATATTATAAAGATACTTCATATAAGAATGCGTCGGAGATGAGTCAAGGTAATAGTAGACCTCTTTTACGTCTTCTCCATGATTGCCTGCGTGGAAAGATTAAGGGAAAAATTGAAAGGTTAGTAGGAAAACCAAAATTGGAGCAACATGATCTGCCTTGGAACTCGCCTTGATGACCAGTGACCCCAAACAAACGTTCTTTCAAGATCGGATCCTTTTCATTCCAGAGTGCAAAAGAGAGAGCCAATCGACCATGATTATCAGAGATTCCACCAAGACCATCTTCACCCCATCTATAAGCACGACTTCTAGCATGTTCATGGGGGAAATGAGTCCAAGCATCTCCGTTTTCACTATAATCCTCTCGAACAGTAGCCCATTGTCGTTCAGATAGATAAGGACCCCATCGTTTCCAATGCTTAAGCTTTGCAATATCTTCATCTATACGTTGTTCTTCTACAGATTTATATTCTGCAAAATGATTATGTTCTTTAAGACCAGGTGTGGGGAATGGACAAAACTTTGAGAAATCCCTAATGATCGAACTCCTTGAAGCTTGACTCGAGTGAGTCTTTCCACCTCTCATATCGATTCCGCCGTGACCACCATTCGAGAAGGATTCTTGAATGGGATTAACCGTTGGCATCGTAACTTTAGTCGGACGACTCATCTTGTAAACTCAAGTCAAGAGGGCTAAAGAAAATCCTGGATGTGATGGAAAGTCGTGAGACTAGACTGATAAAGCTTCTTGATGGTAAACAAGAGTGAGATTAGGATAGTCTTTCGATTCGATTGACTCTGGTCAAGTTAAAAGAATCTGAGATGAAAAAATGAATCAGACGAGTGAATGGTGAAGGTGATAGGAAGTGATCGAATTAGGTTTACATGACCACCTCAAATATGACGTCACTTACCTTCTGAAACACTTCAACTTGTACAACCTCTTCACTTTCCAATTCTACTAGGTCGTCTTTTGTTAGTCAAGAGTCTCAATAAACCCCGATTATTCTTGATCGAAAGCGTATCTTACAAACTTCTATTGATAATAGTCAACCATGATCCAAAAGATTGTCGATCAACTCAGTCAGTATGGAAATCAATCAAAAAGCTATCATTAAGAAGTCATGTCTAGGATACTGAAATTCACTGACCAGAGCAGAAGTAATGTAAGGATAATTAGTAAAGTAACACTGGAGTCGAACTCAACTCAATCGATTGAGGTAAACAGGTAACGAGAGGTGCAAAAGGGTTAAACTTAAACACAATCAATCCATACAATTTACTACTCGGCTATCACAATCACCGGAATTAGCACCGTGACCGGAAATCTCCGGAAATCGTGAATTGAATTATCCTATATTTCATACCTCAATCTACCTCAACATTACATCACTATCCCCACGAGTATTTGATTCTTTCTTCTTTTTCCATACGCACATGCTAAAAGATCATGTCGAAGAAACAGAACTGAGTACTTACATATGTAATATAGTTTAGAAGTAGACTATGTAGACTTTTTTATGTACTTACATAGCAAGTTGAAGGGATGTTTAAGCATTGGTTACACCAGGGGGTAAAGTTCCTCGGCCTCGGATGGGTCTGGAAACCTGTCCAGGTATTCTGATGGGATGACGGTCAAAAACCCGTTCCAGTCACAAAATTTGTGAGAATAGTGACGGGAACCTGCCTTAACCTGAGCGTTGTGCTCACGGTCCAGCCAGAAGGGGCAAAACAAAGGGGTTTGAGGGGTTGTTGGTGACAAAAGGTGATCTGGGGGGCTCAGAAGGGTGCCAAAGCGTCAAGGACTGGAATTTCCTCACTACAAATGAATCTCACGGAGGGAACTGAGGGTCTGATGCCACGTGGTGGACTTGCTGATTCTGGAACCAAAGTGTGTATGGTACAATAATTACTAGGATCTGACTGACTCCAAAGGAATAGGATGCAAGATCAGTCTTGAGTTCCCTCAACAGTACTATACAAATGTAATCAAGAATGAAGGAAATAATATAAAAGAATAAAAAAAATGAAAGTGCTAACCTAGCTTCAAAGAAATAGAATGCAAGGTCAGTCTTGTGTTCTCTGAGGAGCCAGTAGATGAGCATGGCAATCAAAGAGTAGATTAAAACCGCTCACCGTGTCCGGGTAGCGTTTGCTTGTCAACAAGCGTGCACAACTTCCCTTTCTGCCTCAAAGGGAGTTGGTGTGTGCTTGTTGACAAACAAACCCTACGGTGGCTAGGTTTATGTCTAAGGCCTCCATATAATACATGTATCTGATGTTGTGATGATGTATATGTATACATTATTATTTTTTCCCACCCTATAAGAAAGACTTGAGCAAGGGGTGAGATCAGTAATGGTGCCAGTGAGGATACAGGAATAATCAAAAGCAAAAGAAGAAAAAATCACAATTCTGAAGGAGCAAAGAGAAAACAAGAGAAGAAACAAAGTGAAAGGTAAAAGAGAGAGGAAACTAAATTGAAGTTGTACATTGCAGCTTGGACTTTGTTGAGAAACAGCCTTGGATTGGCATCAATGAGTTTCACCATGAACTCTTGATCCTTGTTCAAGTATAGAGTTGGATCAACACACAAACCGAACCGCAATGAAAAACGGGCAACGGTGAGGTGCGGTACGGTCTGGGCACCGTAGGCTGCGGTCCGACAGGCTACGGTCCGACCGCACCGTAGTGTGGTAAACTTGGAAGGGTATGGGGGGGTTACCTCACCGCTGCTCAGCAATCTCGTGGTAAACTCACCGTAGTCCGGAGTGGCCTACGGTCACTACGGTTTCTTTCTGCTATATACCTCACCTTCCCAATTGGGCAAGATGTTTCCATTATCCCTGCGTCGTGACAATCTAAATCCCAATCTAGATATCGTAGCGTGGCTGTGCAACACAAACCATCAAGCAAGGGATCATAAGTACGTCCTCCTATCAAAAAATTCGCAATCGATCCTTCAATCATTTCATTCTTTTTATTTGTCTTCGATACTTCAATCATTTCATTCTTTTTATTGGTCTTCTTTATGCCCCAAAACCACGCAACAACACAAGAGGCTGATACAATGGCAACATTCTTATCCGCTACTAGCTCCACTCTGGGTGTTCCTTCCACTCAAACGTCCGAATCCCAACCACCTAGCCCTGGGCCATCTCGACGCTCACTTCATCGAAGCCCTGCTCGTCGCGATTCTGGTTTCGTACCTACTTCATCAGACTCACGTCAATCCTTGTATCGGCCTGATGAAGATGATGAAACTGACGGCAAGGATCAAACCGAAGAGGAGGAAGATCCGATTCCCGACCCTCATACCCCCACCACCCAATCAAAATCAAAGAAGCGTCCAGCAACTGGCAATGCCCGATCTCAACCTTTGAAAAAGCCTTGAAAGACTGGCAATGAGAAACAAAACACTCGGGCCAAAGTTACTGTAAGTTTAAGTCATTAATTCATTTTGTCATTTTGATTCAATTATGTTATCCGAGTCCTTACTGATAACTTTCTACTTTTCAGGACTTTACTGTACCCAAAGACGTCGATGTCGATCAAGGAAGCCCCAAAGTGCCTATCACTAAGGCTTTCAGAACACAAAGCAAGGCGGTCACACACCTTCTGACATACTATAAACCGGAACCTGTACAGCTCATTGATGATGTTCGATAATTCCTCAATTTGTTGAACATCAGAATGTTGTAACTGACTCCTGTTTATCTTTTCTTGAACAGCCCATAGGTGTGCTCCGTGGTTACGAATGCAAATTTTGTCCCGAGACCTTTGCACGCGGCATTGATGGCAACAGCAACCTCTATGGACATTGAGATGGCGGCAAAAATCGAATTCCTTGTCCTGGTCGTCCCAATGCATTGAAGTTGAAAGATCACGGACTTCCACCAACATATCAAGAACGGAAAAAAGCACGCGACCTTTCCAGCCAGTCATCAGCCACCAATTCATCCGCGGCGTTGATGAACTCCTTCATCAACAGACCACCATTCAGTGTTGATATCCTGAACGTCCTATTGGTCATTTGGGTCTTGCGTCACGCCCTTCCATGGGTTCGTTTTCAAGACCCGACTCTTAGGGCAGCATTCCACCTCACCCACTCTAAGGCCGATCTGAGGAGCTCGACCTGGGCAGCCACAACAGCAAAAGAGTTGTACTCTTCTATGTATGACGAGCTGATCAGCAAGATCAAAGTACGTCCATTTCTCTTTTGAATATAAACACATCATGTAATTGATAAGTTTTTGATGATGAACACTCAGGATAACAAAAGCAAGATATGCCTTGTCCACGACGGATGGACAACAAACACTACAAGAAACATAACATTTTCTGGGCAGAAAATTAAATTATTTGTATACAAACATCTGGAAAGGTCAGAAACAGAGCAAAAAATATGGAAGAATATGAATCCTGTTCCTTGGTTTGAGATCTCCAATCTGCATATTTTTCCGTATTTTTAGGGTTCATATTGGTGAGTGTACTAACAATAAACCCTCATAATCATCAGGTTACCACCTGTAACAGATGATGAAATTTGGCTGATCAGTGCCGAGAGAAAGTTTTGATTACTATAAAACCCCATAACTTTGTCAATTCTGGCTCAAAACACTTGATTTTAGGTGCATTAGGAATCTGAATTCCTGACCTACAACTTTCATTTTGACACAAAATGTGTCATCCCAATGACTGCCATTCTATTTGATGATATGTGAAATTCAATTTCATCGGGGATATCTTTCTTTGCAGGCCCGCCACGTATTTGCTTCATTTATGAACTATCTTCAGGCAAATACCAGCTTTCCGATGCACCCAAAATCGAGTGTTTTGAGCCATAATTGACAAAGGTATGGGGTTTTGTAGTAATCAAAATTTTCTCTCGGCACTGATCAGCCAAACTCCAGCATCTGTCACAGGTGGTAATCTGATGATTATGAGGGTTTATTGTTAGTACACTCACCAATATGAACCCTAAAAATACGGAAAAATATGCAGATTGGAGATCTAAAACCAAGGAACAGGATGCATATTATTTCATATTTTTTGCTCTCTTTCTGCCCTTTCCAGATGTTTGTATACAAATAATTTATTTTTCTGCCCAGAAAATGTTATGTTTCTTGTAGTGAAAAGGCAACCGTTTAGCGTTTATTGGGGTGACCGCAACTTGGATTGACTCCAACTGGAAGTTTCAATCCAGTCATCTTACATTGAAGTTGGTAACTTGGCACCACTGTGGTGCCCTGCTCGCCAGACCAGTCGGAAAGTTTCTGATCAAACATGGACTTCATAAGAAGGTATGTGCGAGTTTATCTTTCAACTTATCTTTTTCTTTTCTATTTCTATATATATTTGTATACAAAATTCTGACATCGTGATATAATTATTAGGTATTAGCACAAACTACAGACTCGGGTGCTAACAACAAGACTATGGCGGATGAACTTGAAAAGATGTTTATGAAAACAGACGATCCAGTCTTCTGGGATTCTGCCGCCAATCATGTTAGATGCTATTGTCATAAACTCGCGCTTGTTGTTAAGCACGGCCTCAAGACGATGAATATCCCGGCTGGTCATGTCAAACCTACAACTCAACCCGGGTCAGCTGTCCCAATACCAACATTAGTCCTCAACGCTGGAGAAGACGATGTGGCAATTCAGTCATCGTCTGATGAAGATGACGCAGGTTTAGAACGTACATCTATCAATGCCGATGGTGAAGACGACGAGGCCGACAACATAGAACCCAGCGAAACGACCGAGCTAGTCAAACGTGCGTTATTGAAGGTCAGTTTGTTGTTTTCTTGTTCATTCATAGAAAGCTATCAGCTGACTTTAGATAGTATGGACTCCAGTGTGATAAGGTGATCTCTTTGATCTGTTCGAGCTCCTCGCGCCGGCAATGGTTTAACACACGTGCCAAAGCCCAAGGCCTCAAAAGCATCATTCACGGATGGGGAGTAAGGTGGAATGCCAAGGCCGATAGCCGAAGGCGTGCAGCAGCTG